CCCCAAAACCCCAAAACCCCACCGATTGGAGAATTAGTTTAATTAATAAATTAAAAAATTTCAAAATTATCTCAATTGATGATTGTGAGCTCCAGCTAACTCGACAATTTTAAGGAAATTCGAATTGCCGCTACTCATCACATTTTCAGCATCTCTGCAAAGCATAATCTTGAAAGGGCACCCTGGGATAACACATCTGATGTTCATAAATTCCTTTCCATTCATCACATTGTTAATGGGAATCTACAAGTCAAAGCCACGGCTATTGCTGAGTCTCTTGAATTTCTAAAAGATAGCATTCTTTTCATTACTCTTAATAGCGTAAAACTCCTCAATGCCAGGAGTTTAAGATATCTATCTTTCACTTTAAGCTTATTGACATTATTGATTTCCTGTTGGGGTAGTGATGTTGTTGTTCATTTATTCATAGCCAGATAATTATCTTCCATTGCCTAGATTTGCTGCTTGCTGGTTTCTAAGTAAATTCTAATAGACTGCGTCACCCCCTTGCATATGTTTCTATTATTTATCTGGATTGGGCGGCCTTCCTCTTCTTTTTGGCAATAACTGTAAACTTGAATTCGATTGGGGAGGAGGTAGCCTTTGCTATGGGATAGGTGGAATATGGTTTTACTAAGATACACTCCCACCACCTCTAGTTGAGCTAACTGCTTAGGGAGGCCCTTAGCCTGGTGGAGTTCTCATCATTCTCATTTATTGCTACTGTTATTGATACATCTCTGTGATCTTTTCCTAGAATCTCTTGATATCTGGTGGAATCTTAACTATTTTTAAAGTCTAACCCTTCACAATAGCATCAATGTCTACTATCATTCTATCTTCTTACTCGGTTACTAACACCAGTTCAGAATTATGATTGATCGTATCACATATGTGCTTCAAGAAGTCCCATAGTTTCAAATACTTGGTCTTGTCTAAAGTAAAAACCATTTTCTTATAATCTAGAGGACCAATATACACATCCACATCAAATATTTAATCAATCAAATTCACTGGCTGCATCCTGATTTTAGGAGGGTTAACCTCATGTTCAATGATCACATCATCGTCAATTTATTAGT